GCTTTGTCAATTTGTGTTTTGTTTGCTGCCGTGTAGTTTTGTGGTTTGGTTAGTTTGTTGATTTGCGTTATTAAGTGGCTTTTTTGTTTGCGTAGCCTTTTTATTTCTGGGGTGATGTATCTGTCTGTTGAGTTGAAGTTGTTGTTTATATGTGGGACTGCGAATTCTATTGCATTGGTAATAAGTGTGTTTAGTGTATCTATGTGTTTGTCAATTTCTTCTGTGTTGAGGTTTCTGTCGTTCGGTACGTCTGTTTTGTCGTTTTCTATTAGGTATTTTTTGAATTTTGTCCAGTCGGCTTTATTGTAGTTGTACGTTGATTGGGTGTGTGATTTGTCGATTATAAGGTGGTCTAATGTTGGTATTGTGATTTTCATGCGGGATGCTCTGTGGTCGCTGTCGTATTTGAAGGTGTCGAGTTGGTTTGGCGCAGGTAGTTGGTGGAATTTTATGCGATCGTCTGCTAGGCAAAGGTCAATGAACGCCCCACTTTTGGCGTGTGATGGACTGGCTGTTCGGAATAGGTTTGTTCTGTATATTATTTGATTGTCTGTATGCCATTTGTAGAGGGAGATTCCTCTCTTGTTATTGTTTATGTTTCCCCATGCGTGATGCTTGGCGTTTAGGTCGCCGACTAGGAGGTAGAAGCTTTTGTGTTGTTTAAGCGAAGTTCTTCAAAGAGTTATTTTGTTTCTGGTATGAATTCCTTTGTGTAGTTGCAAGTTGCATAGGCTGCTATTATATATAATTTGTAGTTGTTTTGTAGGTTAATTTCAATAATCGTTTCTTCGAGACATTTATTGCTTTTGATGCTGTTTGGCTGGATGGGTTTAAATGAGAAGTCTTTTCTTATTAGTATACCTGTTCCCCCACCTTGTTTAGCATGAGGTTTGTCGCTTCTTATTATTCTGTAATCTTTGAAGTTGATTTTATGATTAGGGTTTAGTTTAGTCTCTGATAACAATGCTACGTCAGGTTTTTGCTTGTTTAGACAGTCCAGGAGTGTTGCTCTTCGTTCATTTGTTATGATCGAGTTTACGTTTATTTGTAATATTTTTAGTTGGTTTATGGTTAGTTTCTTGTTAGTGTTGTTATTGTGTTGCCATTTTTATTTGTTTTTTAGTTAGGTGTTGAAGTCTATGGTTGCGGTTGCGGGTATGATGAGTTAGCGTTTGTGGTTTGAGGGGGTGTACTGTTTGTGAGTTTTGCGCTGTATGATATTTCCGGTGTTACGTAGTTATTTACTGATTTTTGTTTTCTATTTCTATTTTTATGTGTTCCCTTTTTTCTTCTATTTTTTCTTCTATTCACGGTACGATGCGGGATGTCCGAAATTTTTGCAGTTTATGAAGAAGGGGCGTGTTTCTGCGCCCTCTTCCATGTTTGTGTCTGTTGTCGAGACAGAGCATTCTCCTGGCTGGTGCGGTATATTGCATATGACGCATCGGTAGTTTAGATTGCAGTTTATTACTACGTGACCTATGCGTTGGCATCTTTTGCATTGGATGCGATTTTTTTAAATTATTTTCTCCCATGCATTGATGGAGTGCATTAAAATTTTTGTTTCTCAGGTTTTCTATTTTGCTATGCGGTGCTACTTTCACTATGTACATTTATGGGGAGGCTCCTGTCTTCTAATATAGATTTTTGTGTAGAGAATTTTTTGACTGCTAAGAATTTGATGTCTGAGTTTTTTATGTTTTGGAGCTCTGTTAGGATCTTGTCTGGGTCGAAATTACCGTCTAAGTTTTTTAGTAGGATTGAGAAGTGTTGTTCTTCTTTCGGTGTGTATAGTTGGGGCCACGATATAGCGAGGTCGTAAATGAAACTCTCAAGAATCGGCATCGATTGATGTTGCGGCACTCAAGGCCGTGTGTTGCAGTCTGTTTGAGAGTTCCAACAATAAACGAATGGTAGCATATGATTTGGTACTTCAAGTAGAAAATGGTATTTCATTTACAAATGGAAAATATGTTAATATTAAGCTACACAATCTTTTTGCACTTTCTATCTGTATATAACACGAGTAGATAAACTAAGATGCTAAAGCGGCTTTCCCCCGAGGGAGAAACCCTAATTTGTCCTAGCTGCATGCAGTTTTCAGTAAATATATTAGAATCAGTTGATACACTTTCGCTGGATACAAGAATTCTTCGTACGGTCCTGACAATGGTTTCAAGTACTTATCTGCTCGTATCTCTGTCAATTTTCGGGTCCCGGCAGCTAAAACATGTTTACTTTGACGTCTGACCGATTTTACGACCTCGCTATATCGTGGCCCTGACTATATGTGTAATATTCGATATTATTTTCTTTTAGGATTTCGCATGCTTGCTTGTGCTTAGTTGTGTTGTTTATGTTTTGGAGGTGTTTGTTGTTGTTTATTCGTTTGGTTGTGAAGTTGTTTAGCTTATTTGCGATAAGTTCTATCCTGTTTTTGGTGTTAGTGTTATGTATGATCATTGGTGATGTACCTGGCCTTCGTCCTTATGCCGGTCGGTTGGGGGTCCCTCGTGTTGGCTTCGGGCTGGCTGGCCGATGCCGTTAAGGGTTTTTCCGTCTTTTCCTGGGGGGGGGATAGTGCTTCCTGGCTGCTCTTTCTTTTTGGCGTGACCTTAGTTCAAGATGTGTCGTCTTCCTTTTGGTTTGCTGACTTGAGTGTACATATGTGTGTGTGGGGGGGTCTGCGTTGGTGTTTCAGTCCTTTTGTACTTGTTTGGAGTTTCACCTTCTTTATTTTTTCCTGTGCTCGGGTTGGTCGCCGCGCTTTCCTTTACTTTCCTTTCCGTTTCCAGTTGTTTAGACAGGTTTTCTATTGTCCTGTTTAGGTTTGTAATTATCTTCATTAGGTCTTCGTACGAGGGTCTGTCTGGTGCTTCCATGGTTTTTTTTTGTAGAGTTTTTGTCTGGGTCTTTTGGCTGGGTTTCATTTGTAAATTTTCTGAATCTTCCTTGCCGGTTTCTGTATCTGCTGAGTATCTCCTTTTATTCAGGTTTGGCGTTGGGTTTAATTTTTTATGCTTGTTTTATTTAATATTGCTTGTTTTGTTATAGTGTTCAGATGCTCCTTGTTTGAGAAGCTATGTCCGGCTTTATTTATGATTTTTATCACTTCACTTGTGTTTATAGTGAAATTTTTTTCTTGAATGCTTCCGGTTTTTTCATTTTTGGGGGTGGACGCCCCTTGAGGGCCAGTATTTTTTGGCTCTATCTTTTTTTTATTTTTGTTTTTTTAGTGGATGTTTCACCCTATTTGTGAAGCCGGCACTGAAGTTTTTGTTTTTATTGTATATATATTAGACACTGCACTCTCACTCGTTTCACTTTGACGATTGTGTTTGTGCGCGGGGCGCGTGAGGTATGCTAACCGAGCGTAAATTTTTGGCCTGCAGAGCTCTCGAAGACCCTTCCTTACCCTTGCAAGGTTGGAAGGCAACTCACATCCTGTGCACTGGCTCACTGCCAATTGTTGATTAGTGCCTAAACTTCCAAAGTTTTACGGAAGTAATTTCAATTGTTTATAAAAAATGCGCATTGAAATGAAATATTTTACAGAATGTCATTTTTCGACTTCTAAATTCATCCGTTCAAATTTTATCAAAATCCCCGGGGGACAGGTATGTAGTCTCCTGGATAAGTGCTTTGCACATCAATATTTCTCAAATTTTTCATTTCGCTGAAAAGTTACAAAATGAAATTACAAAATAATTAAAAATAAAATGTAACACCGACGCACAGTGTTTCGACCAATGGACAAAAATCAGAAATTCAAAGTGTAAAATCTAAACATTTTTTCATTTTAAGATGTTAATAACAAACCATAGTTTGTAATATTACCTAGAATTTTGACTGAATACGTACATTTGTTGTTAAAATTAAGACGAGATGTTTGCTCCATTAAAATCAGTGTATTTTTCAAATATGTGCCATTCACAGACCATTTGTGTTTTTGATTTGATTTTTATAGGTTGTGTTTAGTACCTGAATACCTTTGAAACTGTCACAGAATTTTAATACAATAGTAATAAATTTTCCTAATTTTTTATGTAAAATTTTTATCAAATTTAACGAGACTTTTAAAAAAAGTACCGAGTAATACCTCTGTGATTTTTTGTATATTAATTTTGAACATATAAATCTTCATATTAATGTCAAATTTAACTGTTCAAATTTGCTCAAAATGAAGAAAATTGTCAAAATTATTATTGACGCGTTCAGTATTCTAGCTTCCTATCCTACTATTGTACGTGTTATTCAATTTTTTTATTACTTATATTGTTATTTAACTACCTAATGAAAATTACAAAACAAAAATAAAAGAGAAATTTTGAATGTATACAAAGTTATGATACATATTTGTCTCTGAAACCTCTGTGTGCGAAACGGCGGCTACGATTTTGCCGGTATTTTCGCGAAACTGATGAACAAATTTTTCAAACAAAAGTTAGTCTGCAAATCGTAAAGCAAATCGTGTTAATGAAAATTTACAAAAATGTTTTTATTCGATAAAAAATAAAGATCACTACAATTTTTTTAAATGAAACCATATATTTTTTTATGTGCCAATCAATGCATATTTGAATTCCCTTCAAAAAAATATTAGAGAACTTAGGTCGAAAATTGCTTAATTTAGAAATTATATTAAATTAACGCCCAAATACTCGAAATACTGCGTCTCACCGAGATTCAAAGGGAATCTCCTGATTCTTACTCATGCGGAAAACTATACTCGGCGGAAAAAGCCGAAGAAGCTTCGCACACGACATAAATATAGTGGGAGACGGCGGTAGGTTATAGTGGGGGTAACTGCTTTCGCCCACGATCAACGATTCTGGCATCACTGGTTGTGCGTTGTGCGTTTGTTAATTCTGGAGATTCGGTAAAATTTGATGTATCTTGGTATAACTATACCTACTATATAACAATCTAATAATCTAACCTAATAAAAACAAGGTGTTTTGATATTTAAATGCATTTCATTTACAAAAGTATAAATGTATATGATTTTATCTTACATATATAATATACTAAAATTTAAAAAATGGGAGTTATTGTTTTTCGCAACAATTCTATTCGCTTTAAAATGGCCTACAATTATTACATTCCGCCCAAATATGGACCATTTTATAGAACTACATAAGTGTCCAGCATGTTTTGGTACTTCTGCTTGTAATTATATCCATGAAGTGAATATTACGCTTAATGATTTTTATTCTGCCTTTTCATATTTTTTCGGAGTAAAAAATGTGTTTTTTGGGGTTTTTAACAAAAATAAGGTTGTATTGAAGAAATTGGCGCAATCTTTTGAATTAAATGAATTCGATCGAATGCTATGTGAAAACAAACATTTCTCTCATATTTGTACAAAGACTGCAAAAGCAGCAAACAATAAACTTAACATCAATTTTTTGGAGCTCATTGAGAAGGAAGTCAATCTGAATTTTTCAAAGGACAATTTTAGTCGTTTAAGACTTTGTCCTAGTGTTCAACATTTGAATAATCTCTTACAACATGTATATCATAATAATAAAGATATTGATCCAAAGATACTTAATTTAAATATTTGGGTACTAACTGCTCTTAATCCTGAGCCTCTTCTTCTTCAGGTACATATACATATTTATTAAGATTAAATTACTCCATTAAAATTTAATTATTACTGATGCGACTCCAACTAATGTTCATTTAAATATCTACATTGACACATTTCAGTTATATTAGAGAAATTGTTTTTATTTAAATACATTTTAACTTACCTTCCACATATACAGGCATAATATAATTTTCTAACAAAAGTGTGCACTAATCGAAACAAAAATAAAATGTAAAATTTTATGCAGGGTGTATTACAAATAGTGGTGCAATTGATAAGGTGATATTTCAAGTAAAATTATGCCAAAAATGTAGCATATGATTTTGTTTTTGAAAAAATCAATTTTAAAAATTTGTTGCGTACACGTGTATCTGCCATTATATCATTTTATTTCTGATAAATTTATCATTTTATTCTTTATAGATATTGTTATTGATATAATAGATTAAGTAATAAAACAAATGTAAATATTGTTCTCATATTACCTGCGTTTCTCTTGTACAATTTTGTATCAATTAAAAAGATGTGAATGGATTTTAACATGTTTTCACTTTTCTGAATTTTCAAATTAATTGAAAATAATTTTCAATATTGCTATCATTATCTATAAGCATTAATATAGATAAAAATAATTTGGAATACAATTATATAATAGGAATTTTACACGTATATAAGGAATTTTCGAATTCGATATTTTTTACAAATTGTAACCTCATTCAAAGAAACAAGAAAAATTCATACTACATTCTTAGCTCACTTTTGCATAAGGAATTATTCTTTCCTCGGTTGTACCACAATTTTAAGTACACCTTATAGAGTAAAATAACTTTATATAACAAAAACAAGAAAGATGAAAGAAATTTAAATTCAAATAACATATTTATAAATATGTTATTGTATTTGGTACATTTATTTTTATTTCTAGATACTACCTGCAGAGAGAAATTGGCCAGTGCCAAAATATCTTGGTGCTTGTGGACGCATGATTATTGAAGAATATGTTGGATTACCATTAGCTACTTATTATAATGAGCCATGGTTATGTAGAGCAAAAATATCTTCGAGTCTTTTAGATGCAGCTTACATGTTTACTTATAAGAACAAAGACTTTGGTTTCTATTTAACTGATATATCAGTTGATAACATAGCAGTTGATTTAAATAATAATGTAAAATTTGTGGATTTAGAAAATGTGATTATTGTTGATAAAAATATTGTACCTGCAGGTAATATTTTTGTTAATTAGAATTTTAAGAGCCAAAAATGTAGAGTGAATTTCTTAGTGTTTATGAAAAAACATATATACAAGGTGTTTCGTTTAACTGGAAACGGTGGAATATCTCAAAAGGGATTGAAATTATGAAAAAAAAGGTTTTGCAAAAGTTGTTCGGTATATAGGGAGATATTAGATGGTCTAAATAATTTTTCTGTAGGTATAGTAATGAATGAGATATCAAAATCAAGTTAATTTTTTTTAATGGAACACTATATTTTTCTACTCCTAATATTATAGCGTTTGTTGAGACGAATTCAACGAAGTACCGCGTTAAGTCATTTAGTTTTATGAAAACTTGTAAAATCGTGGAGATTTGTATTAGTAGCACAGTCGAGTAGGGTTTTGCTGGCCGAAAGTGTGTGACAGATGTTGACCTGACTCCCCGATTCTTCACTACTTTACGATTTTTTATAAAACGAAATGACTTCGTGTGGCATATCGTTGAATTCATCTCAACAAATGCTACCATATTAAGAATAAAAAAATACAGGGTTCTATTTAAGGAAATTCCACCTAATGTCTCTCTATAAGATACCCAACAACTTGCAGAACAGAACTTGCAAACAGAACACCTTGTATACAGGGTGAATCACCAAAAACTGAAAGGTGGAATATTTTCAAAACTGTTAATAATATCAAAAGAGGCATCAAACAAAAGTTGAAAGGTTTCGAGGGAGGCATTGTTTGATGTTACTAGCATTTTTGTAATTAGGCGCACAGGCGACATGTGAAAATTGTTTTCTTTTAATGAAATCATATATTTTGTAATGCATCAATTGATTCAGCTCATCATTCTCTATAAAAAAGTGTTAAGCTATTTGTACCAAGAAATCATTATTTTAATTAAAATATTACGGAATGGTACTCTTACAACCAGTTTAAATAAATATTCATTACATTATTACACATTACCTATTACAAAATGTGTTCAAAATGACGACTGTTGGCATCTAAACATTTTTGTAATCTAATCTTTAAAGAATATTGCACACGGTTTAAGGTCTCTGGTTGTAAAAGTACCTATCATTCCACAGTATTTTAATTAAAATCTTTCCTGAAGTAATGGTTTCTCTGTATAAATAGCTTAACACTTTTTTATAGAGAATGATGAACTGAATCGATCGATGCATATAAAAATATATGATTTTATTTAAAAATCAAATTTGACCTTCATATGTACTCTACGCATTGACTTACAAAAATACTAGTCATATTAAACAGTGCCCCCCTCGAAACCATTCAACTTTTATTTGAAACCTTTTTCGATATAATTAACAATTTTGAAAATATTTCAACTTCTAGTCTTAGGTAACTCATCCGGTATATAGAGTCATATTTATACTTAGTTCAAAATTGTACAATTATAAATGTTTATTTAAAAATTATATAAATATACTTCTTAGAAAGATCAACAATATGGAATCAATTACAAGTAAATACTGAGGATTTTAGCTGTTCGGAATGTCTGGCATTTTCTTCTGCTGAAATATGTAATCATAAAATCAGTGATCATAATTATTATGCAATATGTAAGGTTAGTTGTCATTATTATTAGGCACAAGAACGATCTATTGTTTATATAAATGTATTGTAAGGAAACTAAAAATAGACAAGTAGTTTGTAAAAAAACATTTTATCATAACATCACTTTGGGTAGAGAAATTTTTTGTTTTATTCAAATTATTTTACATTTGCAGGTATTACTAGCATTAAACTTAAATAGTAGTATACTTCATGGTGGCCTACTACACGATATACCTACAGATATATTAGAAACTTATCCGAATATAACTTATCTAGTAGAACAATGTGTTACTCCTCAAATATCATTCGATAGAATTAAAGCTGGAATGGAACTTAAAAAATTGTTAGACATTATATTACAAAAGTATACATAAAAGATTAAATACATTAAATGAAGATATGTCGATAAAAAGTATCTAGTTACTGATAAATTATTGTTTACATGTAATTAACATAAAGTAACCTCATTCTTAATATTTTTTTCTATCAATCAAGGTAAGTCCAATCACTTGTAAATGTCTATATTATTAAAAACTAAAGTTAATCACTTGCAATAAATTTAATAGTTCACTAAAATAATAGTGTGTAATGAATTAAATTATTTTAATGTAACATTTCAAAACTGTGTTGGAAACTTTTATAACAAAATAGTAAGTGATTTATAATACTCTCA